CTTTTACTTTGTACTTAAGTACTTTAAAATGCATGTACTTCTGAATACTTAAGTATTTTCAAAAGTAAGTACTTCAGTACTTTTACTTGAGTAGATTTTTGACTGAGTAACTTTTACTTGTAGTGGAGTAGATTTGACCATGAGTATTAATACTTTTACTCAAGTACTAGAGTTGAGTACTTTGTCCACCACTGCACTGACCATAGGCACTCAATTTTAGCTCAAGAGCTCCTGTCCATCTGTCTCAGGTTAGTGGACATCATTTAGGAAACCGTCATGTCAGAAAATGTGCCACTACGTCACACAGTGGAGTCTCTGGCTGTGTCTCAATTCATGGGCTGGGTCCTCATGAGGACGTGGATTCCTGCTTTATTCAACCAGACACGCCAAACTTCTGACCAGTCACATACTCTTACCTGCAAGATCTGCAGGACAGAGTTCTGACTGAGGGAAATTCACAAGACAGGTGTCACCGGGGGATAAAAGATGAAAGTTACACAATTTTTTGACACTCAACAGCATGAGCAAAACATCCAACTTGAAATATAGACCAGCCTTCAGAGTACAGCCAATCATCCACAGTGGAAAAAAAACAACAACAAAAAATAAAAAATAACAGTTGAGGTGGTTTGAGTGTTTGGTAAGGATAAATCACCAGCTTTATTACAATACAATGTATGAATTTGTTTAGGTGGGAAAATGATGTTTCTCGATATCACAAAAATCTGTCATAAGTTTCAATTCAGGTAAAGTATGCAATAACATATAGATCTGATATGAATCCACATTGGGCATCTGATGACAATATGGATAGATGTTTCCATTTCACCTTGATGTAATTGAATCATTAATCATTTAAATGAGATATTGATGTAAATCAATGTATTGTTACATCACTGTTCCTGGTGAAACTATTCCCAAGATAAATTTAGTTAGGAAAGAATCCTACCTGCCATGAACAGCGATAGCAGCAACACCAGTCTTCTCGATCATCTGGACCAGACTGACTGTTTCCTTCAGCTGAAAGCAGCCAAAAAAAAAAAAAAAAAAAAAAAAAAATTAATTTATTTTATTTACTTTTGCCAGCTGACAACAAACATAGTTCTAGTTTTACATTGCTTTCTGTAAACACTGTTATAATCAGTCTATTGAAATAAATAAACATTGACTCTGTCTTTTGGCTTTTATACTTGAGTTAGTGAGTGTCTAGATATTTCATCATTAAAATTATTTGTTTTAGCAGTAGTTTAATTATGACATGTCTTTTGTGAAAGCCTAAGCTGGGCTTAGTTCACATTGCAAATCTTAATGCTTAATTTAGATTTTTTTTGTGTACTTACATATACATGTATATACACACAAAAAAAACGAATACATCCGACTTCAACAAATTATCTCTACTCTGATTACAACAGAAAAACACAACCACATCCTTTTGTTTAATCTTTAAAATCTAAGTACTTCCGGTGAATTTTCACTAGGGCACACACCTTTTAGCAATATCGGTTTTTATCCTCTTTTTAACTGTTATTTGAACCAACTAATTCTATATCAAATGTACCGGTATATCTAAATGATTTCAACTTAACATTCTACATAACATTTCAAAACATTGTCCTGCCCTGATGAACAATTCATTAATTCATAATTCATTCATTCATTAATAAATCACATTTTACTTCACTTAAAAAGGACACATCAGCTGAACAGGTTTCAGCAGTACTAGACCTGAGGAGGTGCAACTGTAAATAGGTCGCAACGTATAGAATTAACTCATCTATCCATCCCTTTTCTCAAAACTGTCTGCATCATCATCTGCAACCTTCTTCTGGACCCTCTGCAGTTTGCCTACAGAGCCAACAGGTCTGAAGATGATGCCGTAATCCTGGCCTTCCACTTCATCCCACAGCATCTAGATTCACCAGGAACCTACGCCAGGATCCTGTTTGTGAACTTCAGCTCTGCATTCAACACTATCCTTCCTGCTCTGCGCCAGGACAAGCTCTCTCACCCTTACAGGGTTCCTACAGTTTAAGGAAAGTTAAATTTAAGACTTTTAAAGACTTTTTAATGCCAGGTGAAATTAAATTTAAGACCAATTTTATAATAAACATAAATGACGAAATAATAAAAACGATGGCAGAAACTCATGAAGCAAAGTATTTTTGGTTGAAGTGTTCAAATATTGCTAACAGACCAACTGTTTTCATCCATATCGAGCTATAGCAGAAACCTTCTTAGTAGTCTATTTTAAACTTAAATTAATTTCTGGAAATCCTCTAACAACCCAAAATTTGGATTTTTAGGACCCACAGTGTGTTCTTAACCCCAATTTGCTATAGATGATACCTTAAAGTGCCTGTGACATCAAGTTTTTGTAAGAAAAGTGAATGCATTTTTGGAATATCAACATTATTAACATATTACAAAACAAATTTCACATTGTTCAGATGGACAGTTTGCATGTGAAATAACAGGAAGTGATGTCAAAGGGGAATGTCTGCATGTGAATACAGGGTTTCCCCTACATGTAAATGATCATGGCGCACCGCCACGGCCAGATAAAAGCCGCCACACCTTCGGAATGAAGTTTTTTTTTTAAATCAACTTAAAACAGGGGTTGACACAATCATTGTTTAGTTTGTCCGAGACAACCTATTTTCGTTTCGGACAACCAGATCCAGCCTCCCAGTTGTCTGGTGGACAGACCAAGAAAAAAAAAACCTGGATTAAAGTTTTCCTCCGCATGTGTTCGTCATTGTAAAAATGAACGGGATAAAAAGAAACTTGTTAAAGCTGTCTAGGGATTAAACTGACCGTTCTTTCACCCAATAAAGAGAACCAAAGTCAAAGTTTTACCCATTCAGAACAGAGCAGGGCGGATCGTGCCGTCTGACTGACAGCGCTGCCTTTTTCCTCTCTCTGTGATGGAGGGTCAGCTCGGCTCAGGTGAACATGTCCCAGGAAAGCCCGCAGTGTTTCCTGGACTATTTCCACGGAGGATTACGTCGTATTTTATATATATATTATATTCCTAAAAGCAGCTTGCAGCATTTCTGCTGGAACACAGTGTGTTCACGACTCGAGCACAACAAAACTGGGACAGATCACCTGACCTGTTTTTAAAGCGAGGGCTCAGGGAGGCAGCTTAACCAGCAGCTACACCTCTCCACGCCCATCGCGGCTCCGACCAGCCCGGGACTTTAAAGTCCACATGTCAACCCCTTCAGACGGTTACTTGTATAATGAGCATCAAAAATCTGTAATTTGCGAGTAAAAAAAAAATCAGTATTAATCACACGCAGGTGGAGTGGAGGTGCAAACCTCTTTCCTCCGAAAGTCTTCAGTCCTAAGAACACTAAACTGTAACTTTTAATAGGTTCATGTACACAGTTTACTCCTATTTAAATAAAAATGTTTGACCTGTAAGCAGAAAGTGTATTTGTATGTACTAAACTTTGTATACATAACAATAGTCTTCAGTCCTAAGAACACTAAACTGTAACTTTTAATAGGTTCATGTACACAGTTTACTTCTATTTAAATAAAAATGTTTGACCTGTAAGCAGAAAGTGTATTTGTATGTACTAAACTTTGTATACATAGCAATATACTTATGAAATTACAATTTAACAATTTTTTGAGATCTCAGATCTCTTTTTTAAGGGAAGCCTGGGCCTGAAGGCAACTTATTGGACATGTTTTGGGTGGTGGGGGAAACCGGAGTACCTGGAGACAACCCACGCAAGCACGAGGAGAACATGCCAACTCCCCACAGAAAGACCCCAGGTCCGAATCGGGGATCGAACCCAGGACCTTCTTGCTGTGGGGCGTCGGTGCTAACCACTGAGCCGTTGTGCCGATACATTTAGCTGTGTTCTGGTT